TCCTCCTCCTCCTCCTCCTCTGCGCGTGTGTGGGCCGCCCGCTCCGCAGTGGGCGTCAAGGTTGACGATCTACCGCCTCATCTCACTTCAGAAGCCACAGATCCAGTGTTGTGCGAGAGCGACACAACAAGAAGGAGCTGAAGAAAGAACGAAAGAAAGAAACAGACAATGGCTTTTTCTGCTACTCCTGCTGCATCGCCGTGTGTGTGTGTTCGCGTGGAGCTCACCGGCGTCCGCGCAGATTCCCTCCGCGCGGATTTCTCACGCCTCAGCACACTGATGCCCCCGCGCAGCAACCCGCACGTGGCACCACAACCCGCACAGCCGCAACGCTACGCGCCGCCGTCGGCAGGTGAGCTGCAACTCGGGCTCGTCAGTGACGCTGATGCGATGGGCGCGTGGGGCCACACCGCGCCGCTGCTCCTCGTGGCTGAGCCTCCCTCCTCGTGCAACAGCAACCAGGGGGATACTGTAATGCTTTCCTTCACTGCGACAGCACAGGTGCCAACCGCCTCCGTTGGATCTTCACTGCGGTTCCGACTGGTGATCGTTGATGTGTCGCTGCTGCGCGCCGCCTGCCCTGGTATCACGCCCGGTGCCGCTATTATGGCGGTGGAAAATATGCAAGGGCAGCCGGACAGTGTGGCCCTCATCATCGATCACGACAGCAGCAGCAGCAGCAGCAGCCCTGTGGCGCACGCGCGTATAGATCTTAATGGCCGTGTACTGCATTTCGCCCGCGCGGAGAAGCAGTTTCCATTCTTGTCGCAGCTCTCGTTGGCAGCGGAGGGGGAAAAGAATACTCTAAAAGCAGGGCCACTTCTCTCGTTGACTCTGTACGGCAACGATCCAAGCATGAGGTACGATCGGGCAGCGTGGCTGGACAGTCTGCCGCCGCATAGCCGCGAGACTGTGCTGCACCTCGAGCAACACGGTGATGACGTCGCGGCAACCAGCCGCAGCGGCATCCAGTTGTTGCCCACCTCTCTCGTGGAGGTGGACGACGTGTACCCTGTGCGCTCCGAGGGCTGCTGTTGGTGCGAGGGGCATTTGCCGAATCCTGCTCCAATGAAGCGCCAGATGAGTGTGGTCAAGGAGTCGATTAAACGGCATAAGAAGCACCGGTCGCTTAAAAATGAAACGGAACTGCCGCAACACACAAGCGGCCATAAACCGCCCAGCACCAGGGGACAGACTGCTCTGTCTACAGGGGGTGCCTCCAAGGAGCAGGGGCAGAAGCCGCTACCTGTATATGAGAATGTAAGAGCCTGCTATGAGGACGACGCTAACACTGCCGTGATGCGCCGCGGCTGGTGTGTAGAACCGCTGCACATCGCCGACCCAATCAGCCCATTCAGCGCGGGGGAGCCGCAATGCACCATGCGTGCGTGGCACACAACGGTGAATGTAGCGCCGCTGGCAGACTGTGGAATTCAGCTGGAAATGCGAATGCCGCTTCTAGTCTACAGTGACACCAGCGACGACAGTGATGATACGTGTAGTCAGCTGTCGTCGCTGCAGACGTATTCCTATGCCAGCAGTGCCCGTGCTGTTGTGGGGGTGCGCTGGGTGAGGTGTTTCGTTGTGCTTCAGCCGCCGTTGTTCAAGCAGCACACGAGCGGCTTACTGGCGATCCCCTTCTCCTTTTCTGATGCTTCACCCGATGGGGGCGGCCACAGCACTCTTGGTGCTGCCACCACGCACTGGCATACCATCTACGTGCAGTACCTCTTCGTCTTCCCCTTCCAACACGCGCAGCGCAACACGCTGATGATGGTGCGCTCCATCGCATCCCTCAAGCGGCTGGCGACGACAAAGCCGGTCGGCCACCGTGGCCTCGGCAAGACATACACTCGTACACTGCCAGACGAAGCCACGGACGCCGACGCCGTGGCACCTTCAACCCGCATGGCACGTCGGCTGACGGTGAAACTCGCGGAGAACAGCCTGGAGGCCTTCAACGCCGCCCACCGCCGTGGGTGTGACATGGTGGAGTTCGATGTGATGCTTACGCAGGACCGTGTCCCAGTCATCTTTCACGACCCGCTCATTCGTCTCCAGGCACGCGTTAAGAGGGGTGCGGGCACACGCAACGGCAGAGTTGAGTGGCAGCAACCATCTTCCAGTAATTCGTTTGAGTTTGGCGTGAGCCCCACCTTCGCATCAGATCCGATTCCACACCCGCAGTTCGCGGACTTTCTGACATCGGATTCGTCCAGTGTGCTTCCGGCGGTGTTGCAAGAAGTGTGCCAGCAGAACGCCCCTAACTTCGCCTCGGTTACCGTCGCGTTACATCAACTGACGAAGCGGCAGCTGGATGTGGTGATGACAGAGACATTCACATACATGAAGGCAGGTAATAAGCTTCGTAGCTTAATCCTGCGTCACATGAACCAAATCCTCCGCGTGTATCGTAACCGTCAGCGAGCGAAGTACCGGTCTGACCTGCATTTGGAGGCAAAGGAAGAGGAAAACGAGTTCAGCGGTTGCATGACGCCTGAATGTGTTGGCGGCCAGTTGCTGAACCCTGCCTGCTCCGGGGAGCGAATGCGTAACCAGAAGCGCATTCTTTCCGAACAGGAAGATGTCACGAACCGCATCTGCACGCTGCAGGATCTCTTCGAAAACACACCGGTGTCGTTGCGCTTCAACCTTGAGGTTAAATTTCCCTTTCAGCCCATCGGCGATTCCAACTTGTACCAGCAGACGAACGCGTTTGAGATTAATGACTTTGTTGACGACATCCTGCGCGTTGTCTTTGACTACGCAGACCAGCGACAGGTTGTTGTGGGCAAGGGTGATAAAGGAGTTGAACAGCCTCGTGATGTGATTTTCAGCAGTTTTGAGCCAGATGTGTGCCTCGCGTTGAAGCTCAAGCAGAGCCGCTTCGATGTTGTGTTCCTCTGTGATACGGAGCCCTCAAATGATTTCAAGGACTACCGCTGTTTTGGCCTCGTAGAGGGTGCGCTGCAGTTTTCGACCCTTATGAATCTCTCCGGCGTCTCCATCTACGCCAGCTCGCTCTGTACCAAGGCACAGAGACACATCCCCAGCACACGCAATCGCCCGCGCTTGCCACAACAGCCAGTCTCGTTGCAACGGCCGGACGACGGCGACGAGAACGAATTAGACGATACCAACAGCATTGCCAGTGGCAGCGATGGCGTCAGTGGTGAGCGTGACGCTCAGTGGAGTTCATTCGATTACTCCCGTGGAAGAGACATCGTTGCATACGCTCACGACCACAAGCAGCTCTTATGGACATGGGGCGAGGTGAACAACGACAAGCAGTTCACGTATGTGCAGCTGCGGCTGATGAAGGTGGATGCGATCATCACCGACCACGTGCCGACGTAGCCGTCTCCGCAGACGGAAAGATCGGTGGTGCCCTGTTGTCCGCGTCAGCGTGACACATTGCAAGCATATATATAAATATAAATATATATATATATATATATACCGCAGCGTGGTGGGGTGGTGTGA